TCTCACAATCTGACTACAACAGAAGCAAACATTCATCTCATGAGATTTCCTCTGACAATCTGACTACAACAGAAGCAAACATTCATCTCATGAGATTTCCTCTCACAATCTGACTACAGCAGAAGGGAGACTTCAACAGAAGCAAACTGACACAGCCCTACGGCAATAACGGGTGTCCTGATCAAACAAAACAGGCCACAGTGGGAATTCTATTGTTTCACATTCAGCTCATGAGATTTCGTTTGACAATCTGACTACAACAGAAAGAAGATTTCACCCTAAGCAAAGATACAAGATTTCACCCTAAGCAAAGATACAAGACTTCACCCTAAGCAAAGATACAAGACTTCACCCTAAGCAAAGATACAAGATTTCACCCGAAGCAAAGATACAAGATTTCACCCTAAGCAAAGATACAAGATTTCACCCGAAGCAAAGATACAAGATTTCACCCGAAGCAAAGATACAAGATTTCACCCTAAGCAAAGATACAAGATTTCACCCAAAGATACAAGATTTCACCCTAAGCAAAGATACAAGATTTCACCCAAAGATACAAGATTTCACCCTAAGCAAAGACACAAGATTTCACCCGAAGCAAAGATACAGACCTCCAACAATCATGGGCGTTCTGAACAAGCAAAGTCCACCACAGGCGGAACAAAGTCATCTCAGGAAACTTACATCTAATACTTTCTTCACAGAAGCACCAGCTACCCATGTCCAGGGGCTGCTTTTACCTCAGGAGGTTTATCTGACAATCCTAGGAATATAATCTCAAGCTTATCTCACAAGATTTTGTCTGACACTCTCTCTTTATCTTTAATTTTCTCAAAACTTCAGAAGATGATTTATGCTATTGAGGAATGACAAGGACAATGTGTCTAGAAGGCTCTACCACAAAAACAAAACCCCAAACAAAGAGTCTATCTTTCCTTACTTTATGGGAGAAATGGGGTCCTGCCTCCTCCTGTTCCTCTCCTCTGCCGTCATGTAATCCCATTTGAAGACCAGATTCCAGTCAAAGCCTGAGGACAAACAGCGACATTGAAAAAACCCCGTTTTTTTAACTTGGGTCGTGAAGCATTTTTTCCCAGTTTTTCTCACAATGACAAAAGGCGACATCTCATGTTTTTCCCTTGCACCTTCTTTTGGTACGGTACGACTTTTACTTCCCTAAATGCTGTACAGATATTTTTTTAAAAGCAGGACCTTGGAATTGACAGCCTGTTTCCAATTAGACCAAGCCAGGTGGGAGGGCAGTTTTGAAAACTTCCTACACAATCTTTGTTCACAATTACTTCATTGTGGATTCCAACAAGGGTCATCCAAACCAACAACTAGCATGTAAGCAAGTATTTTTTCATGCATCCTGCCACCCAAACAAAAAAAAAAAATTTTCTTAGGCATTCTAAACCAAACAAATAAACTAAAACAATATAATCTTTCCCCCTTTTCTAAAAAAAAAAAAGAAAAAAAAGGTGGTTTTATACCCCAATCAAGACAATTTCGGTCACTTTGGAGGCAGGCTTCTGAACCTGCCAATAAGGGCCAACCCAGGCTGAGAGGGATACAACATCCCAGCAGAAAGACAGAAATACTCAATACAAATACTCCCAGTCTGGGAATCAACCTTGGGTCTCGTGCCCACAACAGCAAAGCGTCTAACCACTGCACAACAGACCCTGGTATTGCTCCCCCTAATCATTGTAAACTCAACAGTCGTAGCGCCCCAGCTCACCTCCCTTGAGGTCGGCCGAGGCCCCGATGTAGTCAAAGTTGTCCATGCTGATCACATCGATGATGGGGCTGACCACGTTCCTACTGTCCTGGAAACAGGGGAGAAAACATTCAGCTTCATTCAGAGTTATGAAGTAATTCTTCACGTACTATCCTGTCATTGTCATCTGTGTGAGAATTGACATAATTTTCTTAATCTATCTAATGATTATTTGTGTGTGTGTGTGTCTGTCTGTCTGTGTATGTAAGTGTGAGTGTGTGTGCTGATGTGAGTGTGTTCATGTGTGCGAGTACATTTATGAGTCACAACTTGGTAGAATCAGGAGAGAAAATGTCTGCCAAAGTTGAGTCACTTTGCTTGAGTGTTTTTGGAAACTGCAAATTTGCATTTTTTTTGCCTTTGATCAACATTTTTCAGTAAAATCCACAGAGACATGTGTTTTACAATGGACATAAAAGGTGGTGAGCAACAACAATCACCATCACAACAACAACAACAATGACAATAATAACACCACTAACCTCAGCCAAGCTCTCCAACAACAACAACAACAACAACAGCAACAACAACAGCAACAACAACAACAACAGCAACAACAACAGCAACAACAACAGCAACAACAACAACAACAACAACCACCAACCTCAGCCACTCTCTCTAGCAGAGGCTCCAGCCAGTTGGCGTTACACTCGCAGTGACTGTCCAGGAAGGTCAACACTTGACCTTTGGCTGCCGCGGCTCCCTTCACCCGTGACCGGATCAGACCTGGGGAGACAGACGTTCATACCGTGGCAGAAACACCCGACGGTCTGACTGTGCCACTGGTACCCAGCAGGTGTTTTTTGTCTACTTTGGGTTCACTTTAATCCAGAACACTTCACTAACTGACATGAGCACAAGAAGAACTGCTCACCACACCAATCTCGGACAGCAACTTAACTTTATTACTCACCCCACTAGTCGCTACCGCGCATGTCTTAAAGTGACGGAGGGTAGCTCCCTTAAAACAGGGATGGACAATAACCTTGTTATGTCCCTTACATAACAGGTGTTATTGTCACTAACTCATGGGTTTGAATCCCGTCAATGGCTTGACTTTGTGTCTTTGGGAAAGGCACTTTACATGAATTTTTAGTTTTAGAAAGAGTTTTAAGGCACTTGCAACACAATAAGGTTATATAAGTGCCGAAGATTAGAGGTGTTACAAGAGAGTAACAAACATAAAAAAGGAGGAGGAGAGATAAAGACGACAGTTGTTTGATAGGAAAGAATGAGCAAACCACAGCACAGCACCTGCCAACCACCCACCAACGGTCTGACGGTGTCACTGATACCAAGCAGGGTAGTGTCTCTAACTCATAGGTATGAATCCTACCAGAGACCCGACGTTGTGTCCTTGGGGAAGGCGCTTAATACACATTTTTTTCCTCACTACACCCAGGTGGTACCCGCCTGAAGACAACAAAAGTTTTATTCACGATTTAAGGTAACTGACTGAATATATTCATTTCCATCGCTGAACATTGTTAAAGTCGCGGACTATGATTTAAACCCCAGGCTTACAGCATCCCGACAAGACAGAAGACCAAGCCCATTACCTTGTCGCTTCTCATTCCTCAGCACCGTCACCTTGTGGATCTTGTTCAGCTCCAGTCCATCGCTAGCTGTGGGTCAAATACAAACAAACAGTTGCTCTTTTTTTTTCCATATATCCAAATACTTTCTTAAGTGGAGAGTTCTAACATTTCAGGCACAACAGTTTGAGTATGAGTGAGGGTTTTCTAAATAGTTTTAGTGAGGTTTTTACTGCGCTCGCAACTGCATAAGGTCATATGAGCACCAAGGAGTCGATGTCAACAGAGAAGTCCTTACAGGGAATCAGGCTTACTTTGCTCACCTCTCTAGCCTCAACAGCACAAAGTCTGCTTCAACTATCAAGGCACCCCGGAAATAGCAGTTCACAAGAGAGTGACAAACATACAAAAGAAGTAGAGGAAAAAATGACGATAGTAAGGATGAGGAAAGAAAAAGCAGCAGTTCACCCTATGTTGTTCCGGCACAGTATGAGCATGACATTGATAAATCAGCCCATTTACAATTCTACAGTGCATAAGAACATGTTGATATTCCCCCTTTGGGAATGGCCTATAGACACTTCAGTCAGTGGCACTGCCCTTGTGTGTGTGTGTGCGTGCGCGGGGGTGTGTGTAAACAGCAGTCATAATGAAACTGCGCATCAAAAGGCACAACTGAATGTCTAAAAACAATGATTCAAATATATCGTCAACCTTGTGATAAAACCAGCTAAGCACCAAAACATCATTTCTTCTTTTCATTTCACAAATCAATAGCAACTTATCCATTCCCTATACTCAGTCAAAGACAGGTCAGAGTTCTGGCTAGAAACTACTAAAATGTCAGAGATAAAGCCAACAACCTGCAGACCGTCAGGTCACTGTGTGCTAAAACAAAATAAGTTTTTTGGTTCTCCTGTCAAATTTACTTTGCTGGGATTAGCTGACCTTATCACAAGATAGAAGATACGACATTTATATAGCACTCAACCCCAAGTAAAAACCACAGGCTCTGAGCATGTGTTTCAGAAATAGAGTTATGAAAGTTCTATTAATGGTGCTGGTACGTATATTTTTTCAGCTGTCAAAGAATTTTGGAGAAAGGGTTTCCATGAAATGAACTTACGATCTTCGCTGAAGTCATCCACCAAAATGATTTCTCTGAGAAGATGAGCCGGACTTTTCCGGAACACACTGGAGGAGGAAAAGACAAGGACAATAGGTGAAAACTTCACCAGTCAATATGAACAACAATATAACTGTATAACAATAACAGGTTGTTGTTGTTGTTTTTAGATCACTTTAGCTGCGAGCATTTCGCTGTAACAATAACAGGTAAAGTATCAAGCTTACTGCTTACTGATCAAATAATCCACGAAATTCATAGGGGCGCTGTATGACAGAGAGCCTCACCAACTGCCTCCACTTTTCACATTTTTTTTGCGAGCGCCTGAGTTTGGGCGAAGGAGCTCCCTAAGTATCGAGACTCAATCTAAATTTCTTTCTAATGGGTACAACATCATATTCCTTGTGTTCAATGTAACATTCAGACATCATATTCCTTGTGTTCAATGTAACATTCAGACAACATATTCCTTGTGTTCAATGTAACATTCAGACATCAAATTCCTTGTGTTCAATGTAACATTCAGACATCATATTCCTTGTGTTCAATGTAACATTCAGACATCATATTCCTTGTGTTCAATGTAACATTCAGACAACATCATATTCCTTGTGTTCAATGTAACATTCAGACATCATATTCCTTGTGTTCAATGTAACATTCAGACATCATATTCCTTGTGTTCAATGTAACATTCAGACAACATCATATTCCTTGTGTTCAATGTAACATTCAGACATCATATTCCTTGTGTTCAATGTAACATTCAGACAACATCATATTCCTTGTGTTCAATGTAACATTCAGACATCATATTCCTTGTGTTCAATGTAACATTCAGACATCATATTCCTTGTGTTCAATGTAACATTCAGACATCATATTCCTTGTGTTCAATGTAACATTCAGACATCATATTCCTTGTGTTCAATGTAACATTCAGACATCATATTCCTTGTGTTCAATGTAACATTCAGACATCATATTCCTTGTGTTCAATGTAACATTCAGACATCATATTCCTTGTGTTCAATGTAACATTCAGACATCATATTCCTTGTGTTCAATGTAACATTCAGACATCATATTCCTTGTGTTCAATGTAACATTCAGACATCATATTCCTTGTGTTCAATGTAACATTCAGACATCATATTCCTTGTGTTCAATGTAACATTCAGACATCATATTCCTTGTGTTCAATGTAACATTCAGACATCATATTCCTTGTGTTCAATGTAACATTCAGACATCCTATTCCTTGTGTTCAATGTAACATTCAGACATCATATTCCTTGTGTTCAATGTAACATTCAGACATCATATTCCTTGTGTTCAATGTAACATTCAGACATCATATTCCTTGTGTTCAATGTAACATTCAGACAGAGGAAAACGGTGGTGACAAAGGGTACCTGACGATGGTCCGGAGCAGGGCCGAGCGAGCCTCGTTGTGGAAGGTGATGATGACAGACGTGTCCGGCAGATCGTGTCTCCAAGGCTTGGACCGACACCTGAGGACACAGCAGACACGTGCAGCTGTCAACTTCCACAGCATCGTATGGTACGAGTTCCAACATTTGTACAAGCTACAGTCTAGAATAACAAGTTGTGAGTTTTACTCAAAAGTTTTACAATTGGAACACAAATTAATAGGTGATATAAGTGCCGAAGATTATAGTTGTTACTAGAGAGTAAGATCAAAAGAATAGGGGGAAGATAGATAATGATGACGGACGTTTGATAAGTTGGAAGGAGCAAACTACACCAGAGCACCTGCCAACCACCCACCTAAATTGTGATGATGGGGTAGAAAAATATCTATAATAAAAATAATAAATGAGGGCGATATCATGACAAAATCAGGTGTTCAAAATGATTAAATTTTATTATTTTTTAAAACATTTTTTCCCCCTTTTGGGCAATTTTCTCTTTTTCACTCCACAACTTTTTTATCCATTTAAAAACACATTTCTGAGTGTATTTTACTGAAAAATATTGATCAAGGTCATAAAAAAAATGTAAATTTGCAGTTTTCAAGGATGCTCAAGCTTTGGAAGACACCAAATTTTGGTGGCCATTTTCTTGCTAATTTTACCTGTACACACACAAGGCAATCCCAACCTTCTTTAATCTAACACATTTTGACTTCTTTTTAAGAAAAGTATTTTTTTGGCGCTCATATGACCTTAAGCAGTTGCGAGCGCCGTAAAACCCTCTACTATAAGGGGGAAAAAAAAGGTATTTATTTCCTTAAAAGCAAGGTAAATGAACAAGCTTCAAGATGGTACCAACAACTCTATAAGCCCGAAACCTGAAGAGCTCTTAACTTCACTATGTCTTGACATATTGCGACCTCAGTGCTCTCTTGTCGTATCTCCATTCTTTTTAACAGTGAAAATGTGACTTCTCCTTCAGCTCACTCTTTGTTATGAACTGTTTTCACTGTTATTAAAAATGGAGAAGCGACAAAAAAGTACAGAGGTCTCGATATTCTATTTCCCAAAAGACGGACACGACAACAGGACTAGTACTGACTCCAGGTGTCTCGTGTCAGGCACATCCCGGTTGGACCTCGTTCCGTCGCTGGCCTTCTGGTTGAACTTGTTCCTGGTGTAGGGATCTTCCCCCGGCCGCAGCCTCGTCTTGGCCACGTACTTCTCCTCGTCAAACTCCGTCCAGACCACGCCCTCCTCCTCCTGAACCACGTCCTCCTTCTGCACCTCGCGGCTCTCCATCAGACGCGGGTTCACACCAGTGATGATCTGAAGCCACAACGACAAAGGGTTTTGTTTAGTTTGACTATGCGTTTTACAGCACTTTCAGCACAGATAGGTCATAGAAACAACAAAGGGTTTTGTCCAGTTTTACTATGCGTTTTACAGCACTTTTAGCACAGATATGTTATAGAAACAACAAAGGTTTTCAGTAAGACTTTTACAGCACTTGCAACATAAATATGTTATAGAAACAACAAAGGTTTTCAGTAAGACTTTTACAGCACTTGCAACACAATAAATATGTCATAGAAATGCTAACCCCTCACCAAAATGAACTAAATTCTCTCAAAGGTTTTTTGTTTCAGGAAATGTTTTACGAATATCGTGGAAGGACAAGAAATCAAATGAGGTAGTGCTTGACGAAGCCCACGTGGGACGCTCACTGTTAAAAACAATCAGGAAACAACAATTTATTAGTTTTTGGGACACCTGAATAGACATAAAGGTCTAGAACATCTAGGTCTCACTGGCAAAATTGAGGGCAAACGAGGCAGCGGTAGGCCCAGAGCAACCTACTTAGGGAACATAAACAAATGGGTAACGGGGAAAGATCAGGAAAAGTGGCTTTTTTAAGAGCATCTGAACAAAGTATCTGGCACTGGATGAATGAATTCATGAAGTGTTTTACAGCACTTGCACCACAATAATGGCATAAAAGTGTCCAAGATAAGAGGTGCTACAAGAGAGTAACAAACACGAAAAAAGAAGGAAGGGAGATGTGGATGACATACGTATGATAGGAAAGAAGGAGCAAACCACACCAGCACCCCCACCAGAGTGATCTAAATTCTCTCAAAGGTTTTCTTAATGATTCTAACATTTCTCAACAGCCTGCAAAGGACAACTAAACTTTTACATGGGCTTTCCAAATGTTGCAACTCTTCTCAAAAGTCTTCACAATGTTGGAACACACAAAGAAAAAGAAAGAAAAAAAGCACACTGGAACACCCACCAACCACCCACAAGAATCCTGATCTTTCCCCAAACACCCCACACTTGAACTCAACGTATGCCCTCGTGATTTTCACCACAACGAAGGAAAAAAAAAGATAAAAAATTCCGCAAGAACAATCCAGAAAACATACAGCCCTGATCTGTAAAAAAAAGGCTTTACCAGATAAAAATATCAATATTTCCATTCGTCGCGGGGAGAAACTGCAGACGAGGAATCTCACAGAACACAAACAGCTTTGTTGATCAATAGAGATAAAAGCCATTGGAAATAACCCCCCAAACGTTAATTCATTTTGGAGAAATATTATTTTGGGGCATGTCAGCATTATTAATAAATACAGGCTTCAACATGACGTTATTTCTGCTTCAGTTAGAGTAAAGAGAAACACATTAACAAAATAATGAAAGAGATAAAAATTCTTGGCTTTAAAAAATCTGAAAATTCTGCAAAAACTTCTCCCCTTTTTCCCTCCCAGCCTCAGCCTATCTATGACAACACAACACATTCACCTAACCAGCATCTGTTTTAATGTAGCTGTTTTTACACCCTCATCAACACAATTTAGAACATAATTTAGGGGGGCGGGCTTCTGACCCTGCATGCCCCAAAAAACCAACAAAAAACCCCTCAAAACAACGAACAAAAACAAAAACCAAAAAAAAACAAACAACCATACAAGACAAACAAAACAACCACCATACACAAAAACTAACATTAAAAAAACACAAAAACAAAAAAACATTTTTAAAAACCCAAACAAAACCACCATACACAAAAACGAACAAAAACCCCCACAAAAAACAAAACAAAAAAATCCCCCACTGACCCTAGGAGCCTCCGTGACCAGCACCACCGTGTCGTCATGTCCCAGAGTCTCCCACTTCTCCTCATGTCTCGGCCGGCGTGGGGCGTTGAACCCGTCCGGCCCGGAGTCCACTCGGCTGCCTCGCCCATCCTGCCAACACACACACGACAATACATACATGTCATAATTATAATCAAGGACATTTATACAGGACAACACATCCATTTCATTAAAATAATAATAAATGACATTTATACAGGAGAAAACATCAATGTAATAATAATAATAATGACATTTATACAGGAGAAAACATCCATGTAATAATAATAAT